AAAAGTCACAATGGGAAAGAATCTTACCTGGACGACATAGTCCAAACCCCCATCGTACAGGTGGACGTGCTTGCCCTGCCGGCTGAGGTATTGCCGGTCATACTCAGGCATAGCCTGAGCGAGCACGTCGTCGCCACTGACAGTCTCGTTAAAGAGCCCGCCTTTCACCGGGTAACGCACCGTCACCTCATACGTCCCCTTAGCGAGGGCCTCCTCTAAACGGGCAGCAGCGGCAGTAGAGGGAGGCACTCGAGAAGCCGAAGCCACCAAAGCCGAGGAGGGTGGATCACGCGGGGGAGGGACCACGGCCGGCTGGGCATCTACAGCGGCCTGAGAAGAGGGAGCACCGGCCTCGTCATTTGAGGGAACCCTCTTCGTCTTCTTTGAAGCCTGGCTCGGCTTCAGTCCCGCCTCGGCCAAGGTTTTCTGGCCCTCATCGGCCCCTCTCTTCTTCTTGGGAGCAGGTTTCTTGACGGCCTCACCCCCTCCTTGTGAACCGCCAGCAGATGTTTTTGCCTTCTCGGCAGCCTGAGCGGCCTTCAGCTCCGCATTGGCCTTCTTGGCGGCCCTGGCCATAAAAGACATACGGTCCATGGCAAAACCTGCAACGAAACAAAGGCACGTCAGTAAAGCAATAACTAACATACTACAGCAAGGGTAAGAAGACGAAGGACAACCTTCGGCCTCGGCAGGAACGCCAAGTGAGGGACCATCGGCTGGCTCATAAGACCCCTCCATTTTCGGCCAGAAGTCATCGTCCACATCACCGGGACAATAGTATCTCACGAAGCCGAGGGCGGCCATCTTATACTCGGTAACATACGTTGTTATACTCCTCGGACCACCCTTAAGGAAAGCCTCCACCTGCCTACTGATCTCGGCATTCCGCGGAGGATTATGCAATTCAAACAAACCGCTGTGACCCGCAGACGGGAAGTAACCGCCTCGGCCAAGGTTAACAAAAACAAACTTTGCCTTCCAACCATGGATTGATGAAGGAAGGTCCGTAAACGTCCTCCTCTTGGGGACCTGCTGTAAGGCAGCATAGCCGGCGCAATTCTGATGGCTCCCTCGGCCTATCCGGTACAAATTGGTAAAAAGCGCAGTCGTCGGCGAGAACCCCAACTCACCGCAACGGATAAGAAAGCCGACGATAAGCGAATAGTTGTTGGGCGTCAGCAAGGCCGGAGGAAGACTCACCATGTCAGGGTATTCCTTAATGAAAGGATGGAGAGGGAGCCGCAAACCCTTCGCAAAACTCATTGGGTATATCCCGAAGTAACCCAAAGGGGGGCTCAATACATGATCTGTAGGCTTCGGCGCCCGCACCCGTCCATACGGCCCCACATACAGCTGAGCAACGTGGTATTCGCCGAGGGTCCCCTCCGGCCGAATGATGTACAGATTGCTGAGGTCAAGCTGCGAGTGTCCCTGCGGTACTCCCTTACGCTGCTTCCGCCGATACGGTTTCTTCGTCTTGGGAGCTGAGGGGCCTTCCCCCGCTACGGACGATATCGGCGGAGGACAAGGAATGTTGGCAGAAGAGGATGCCTCATCCCCTCTCAGAGGCGAGCTAGATATCGCCTCGTCTTCACCAGAATGACGCGCTCCCGCATCGGCACTCATCCTCTCCTCATCTACGGAGGTGCGGTAGTCAGCTGTATTCTCCATCTCAGCTTCAAATGCTTCCACTATCCGAAGATCAACTCTAGGGGAGGTATCGTCCTCGTCAAAGGGCCAGTCCTCTTCGTCCAACGAAGCTGTTAAGTCAATAGGGGAGGGAGCACTACGGCCGTTAGAGAACAGCATAACACCTACACCTATTCCTAAGGGCGGTTTTTCGGATCAAAGTGGTTTCCCTACAAACACTAGATCTAACCCCCTAGGAAGCAAAGTATAAAGCAAAAACGAAGAACAAAGAATCTAACCTTAGAGATTTGAAGATCTGGAAAAAATGGATGAAGACTTGAAGGAACACTCCGGAGATTTTCTCTCTCTAGAAAATTCGACAGCACTTCGTTGCTCAGCAAGGTTGCAAATGAGGTATCGCCTCGGGGGTTAGGGGTATTTATAAACACCCCTCCAACGGTCACTACACGTGGCAAACTCCAATTGGTCGCCTCAACGGCGCCTCTCCTAGAGCCAATCAGCGCTTGTCTTTCCACATTCCACTCAAAGGCTACCACTACGGCCCAACAGGCCCCGAATCTGGGGTAGGCACCGGCCTACTCACTCAAAACCAAGGAGAAACTCGCTACGGCCAAATTTTACCAAAGACATGGCCGCATCAGCAAAACACGCTACGGCCCCAAAGCAACCCCAAGAAACACAAGCACCGCTACGGCTATTCACGCGCACATCGTTTGATAATGACCCTGGTATCGCGGCCTTCGTCCAAGGATTCTCCCACAGGGTTACCTTGGACAGGTTCGCCTAAGGGTTAGACTCACGACTAACGCATGGGTACCGTATCGGCTCGAGAACATCAAGACTCCCTTGTGCCTCAAATACTCTTCGGCCAAAGGAGTGGGGGACTGGGGGACTGTATCGGCAACAGGAAAGGAAACAACATAAAACGGAGCGCAACGGCCTAAAAGCAAAAAGGTGCGCTACGGCTCACCAACAAAAGACAGACAGTTCACCTCAAATAAGCATTGAGAGTCGCATCAGCTACCTCAAATAGCATTACAGATCGCATCGGCTAAAGAGCCCAAAAATTCAAAACCCGAAAACAAAATCCAGCGCGCAACGGCTACGTACACTGGAGGACTGCGACGGCTCACCAAGGCGAGAAAACCGCAAGGCAAAAATGCTCCGGCCACATGACAAGATCAAAGACAGGCATCGCATCGTCCTCATGGACAAAATCAGTCATCTCCATTTCGCAAAAACAAGGACCATCACTACGGCCAACAAATAAATAGGACCTCTTCGGCCCCAACAAATGGTAATAAAACAGGCCAGTTTTTCCATAATTCACATCTACTGGAAAAAGAGAGCGCACTACATCGTCCTCAAAATACTTTGCACAAAGAGCGCATCGGCCCGCACCAAAGTTATGAATCCTCAAGTGCGCTCCGTCTACATCAAATGAGGGAACCGCTTCATCCCAAAATCAAAGCAAAACCTCTTCGGCCACCAAGCACCTCGAGCTCACGCAACGGCCAGCCAAAAGGAACAAGTACTCCCTTTCGCTTCGGCTTCGCCTCAGCTCAGAGAGTGGGGGACTCCTGATAGAGTATATGGGCCTGGACCCCACGGCCTACATACTCAAGTCAATGACGACCAGAAGAATACCCACGTGGCCCCCTTCGGCCAGTGGGCCCGCATCGGCCAGAAACCAAACCAGCCCAGGAAGCACGCATGGACTCCCGGGACCGCATCGGCCCATGGATCGCATCGGCCATGGGGCCGCATCGGCCAAAGGCACCGCATCGGCCAGACTTCGGCCGGGCAGAATGCGTCTCTCTACTTTATTTACTAAGTATTGTACACAGCCCATTAGTGGCCCTATTTCGCCCAAAGATGGCATGGTTATTGTAATGGGCCTCCTAAGCCCATGGCTAGGAGCCCAAATCCACATTTTTTCCTATAAATAGACCCCTTGGGGCTAGTTATAGGGGGTTGAGAAATATAATTGCTCACTTTCTCTCTCTAGCTCTCACTTCTCTCTAGAATTAATACTCTATCATAGTGGTATAAGATAAGGTTCCTAACAATTGAACGGGAGAACTTTCTCTCATATATGTAGTTCTTTTAATTAACTAGATATAAGCCGGCTAGCAATTAAGCGGTAGAATGATCTCTCTCATACATAGTCCTTTTAGGTATAAAATAATTCGTCTAACAATTGAGCGAGATAATTTTCTCTCATACATTGTTCTTTTACATATAAAATAAGTCGGCTAACAATTGAGTAAGAAAAATTTATTTCTCATATGTTAGCACTAATTTAACTAATCATTAAGTTCTTATTTAACTAATAATTGTTTATTTTAATATTTATTGTATTCACTTAAACTTTATGTCAATCACTTATTATACCCACTTTTTTAGAATAGTATTTAATTTTAAAATTAATTTAATCATGAAAACTAATAGCTAGCAAAATCTAATGAGTGATGTCAATTAATTTTTCCTAATATACTCTTCATTGAATATTTATTGTATGTCTTATTGTACTATTTTTTAAAATGTAGAATCATAAAAAGTTATTTTTATTTTAATATTTAATTAGATCATAAGTAAAAATATATGCATCAACTGCTATTTTCCGTGCGTATGCACGGGTACGATATTAGTATTTATAGAAAACAGATGAGTTTGGGTTGAACTGTGACTAAAAAGGGGCTGAAATCCGCGTTTCGTATGTACGCACGACCATGTGTCCTCTGCCACGCACGATCGTGTGTGGCTGGTGCCTCTAAATTTCTGATTTTGACTCCAAACGGCATAAAACTCGAACCAATGCCCGGTAAACATAACGTGAGCTAAAATTGAGAGACTTGTAACACCTTAAAGCTAGGAAAATCATCAAAAGTCAATCTCAACACGCATCAAATGCGTGTCAAAATACAGACTTATCATCAACCAAACACTAAGAGCTCATTTAATAAGTAACCTCTTTATTGAGCTTATCAAGTTATCAGTCACCATTTTTAATGAACATGTAACTCTTGGTTTTACACGCTATATTATATAATAATCAAGATAATAAATTTAGAGTTGTTTTTGTGAAGAATTGGCTAAAATTACTTTGGAGAACCATTTTAACTATATTCATATACTATGTATTTGACTAACAAAATATATTTTAAAATGGTTCTCCATGATTCGACAAATTCAATCAATTGGACCACTTGAGTTGGAACTTCATCAATTTAGCACATTTAATTAATGTTGACGTTACTAAATAGACAAGAGTCTGGATTGGTAAAATGTCAAACAGTCAAACTGTCAAAGTCGAGGTTCATAGTGACCATGACAAAATTAATAGTATGAGCCTGAATTTGGCATTCATTCAATACTCTAAGACTATTAGTTCATACTCCGTATACCATCAAACAAGAGACCATCATCAAATAAAACCAAAACTCATAATAGCAGAATCACCTGACCATCAAAGATCAGTTCAGGAAAACAGGTTCTTAAGACAATTACAGCTTTTATTTCAAAAAAAGAAATACAATTACAGCTTTCAATATTATGAAGTACATGATCACGAGCAACGTGTTTGTTTTGTTGAAGTCCAACAAACTTACAGCTTCATAGCAAAATATGAAGAAAAAGAGGGCAGAGTCATTCACCAGATTATTACCAAGTATATGTATGTATGTATAATGAGATAACACTCCCAGCCCCCAGGCCTTTACTAATTCACCCTGTAATCATAGTTCCGGCGCCTTCGTCGGTCAAAATCTCCAGTAGAAGAGAGTGTTGCAGCCGGCCGTCGATGATGCTGGCAGTCCTCACCCCCTGAGCAAGTGACCTCACGCAACAACTCACCTTCGGAATCATCCCGCCGCCGATCTTACCCTCGTCCATCATCCTCTTCACTCCTCTGATATCCACCTCCTTCACCAAACTCCCCGGATCCTCCCGGTCTTCCAATATCCCAGCCACATCAGTCAATAGGATCAGCTTCTCAGCCCCCAATGCCGCTGCCAGCTCTCCTGCCGCTGTGTCTGCGTTGATGTTGTACGATTGCCCGTTCTTATCGGCGGCGACGGATGCAATCACCGGGATGTGGTGGTTGTCAATTAGCGGCCTTAGGACGTTGGGGTCCACATTCTGGATCTCGCCGACAAAACCTAACCGTGACGAGTTGGGGGAGGGTCGGGCGGTTAAGAGGTGGCCGTCGATGCCGGATAACCCAACCGCGGTGGCCCCTGCCTTGTTGATCAAGGAGACGAGATGCTTGTTGACTTTGCCTACCAGCACCATTGACACGATCTCCATGGTGGACGCGTCGGTGACCCGGAGCCCGTCTAAGAAGTTGGGCTGGATCCCCAATCGTCCGAGCCACTGGTTGATCTCCGGACCACCGCCGTGGACGAAGACGATGCGGATGCCGACGCAAGAGAGAAGGACGAGATCAGTGATGACAGATGCCTGAAGGCGTTCCGATTTCATTGCGGCTCCACCGTATTTGACCACAATTGTCTTGCCTCGAAACCTCTGGATGAAAGGTAGGGCTTCAGAGAGGATTTTGACCCGGGTTGGGGCTGGCGTCAATAAATCTGGATCTGCTGCTGCGACTGATTCAATTGATGCCTTTACGCAAGAAGAAGATGATAAGGATAGGAGAGGACTTTTTCTGAGTTTTGGATTGGCAGAGACAGAGACAGGGAAGAATCTGAGATTGGGGTGAGGAACACAGAAGGGTTTTGAGGCAGAGCAGGAGGAAGAAGACAGGGCAAAGACACTACTGTTTGCAGCCATCATTTCTTCCTTTCACTACTCTGGAGTCTGGAGAATTGGGGAGCGAGGGTCACAATCTGAGATGCATATTCCAACCTGCAATCAAATTAAATATAGTAAAAAGATGAATTTACCATGAATAAAGATGAAATTGAAGAAGAACAAGAAGAATCTACTGGGTAGAGTTGACTTAGTAACGGAAATATTATGATTTGATAAAACTATTAAAAATATTACTTTCTTTTCTAAATGATGATGAGTAATAAAAAAGTTCTTACAAAAAATATATATACTTTATATTAAATCAAATAAAAAAATATACTTAACACAAAGTTCTTACATATTTACACTAAATAAAATGAAATTCTTTTATAACTCTGTAACATACTAAATTTTACTGTACGATTATGCAAAGTATTTTATTCTTCCAAACCTTTCTCATTTTACATGAAGAAAGTTTACACATTTTAGCTATGTTTGGCAGGCATAAGTCCTTGCTTTCTAGCTTTTGTACTGTTCAAAAAGTCTTTAAAAGCTTCTAGTTGTATGTTTGGCATGGCAATTTTTAAGAGCTTTTCAAAAATTAAAAGATCTTTTTTGAGATGCTACGGGGAGTAGCATCTGAGAAAAGTCCGTGACTTTTAGTACTAATTAGTCCTAACAGCTTGTATACCAAACCGAACTAAATGAAACAGACAATTTTTTACCAAACAACAACCACCTTTTTCTTTTTAAGATCTTTTCAGTCACTAAAAGCTAGCAGTTATTAAAAAACTCACAAAAGTATCTTTTCAGCTAGGTGTGTCAAACATACCCTTACACTTGAGTTACATGAGTTTCTATGGATGGAGTCTTTATGTAATGATATCTTTAGGATTGGTTCACAAAAGCCTTATATTTCATACTCTGTATATTTTTGTAATTGGTTTTTGAAGTTGTTTTCCTAAATTGTTTAATATTATTCATTGTTTCAGGCTTTCAGCCAACTAGCAGAGCAATTCATATATACTCCGTATATTAATTGTTCTGTAATGAATTTTCTAAAAATTATTTTATAAGTACAACGATGGTCCATCCGTGCATCTAAATTAATTATTTCTAAAATGGCTGAAAATATAATGTTCAGCAACATATACTACACGTACGTAGTTACTTTGTTTTTAAATAAATAAATGGCTTTTTTTACCAATTTTTACTCTAACAAACCGCACCGTTCCTTAAATCTATTATTTCAACTTCAATTGTTTTCGGTCAAAATATAGTCCACCCTTCCTCCTTAAATTGGTCAAACTCTGTTTTTGCAATTTCTTGTTTTTAAAATACTTGATTTTAGATAAAGCTTATCACTTTAATTAAGTAGGTTAAATTCTACAAACATATAAATTACGTAGTAGAACTTTCAGAAAGCATAAAAACGCCAAGTAGAAAACTCCGGCAAGTCTGCAAGAAATCAAGAAGAAGAACAATTTTGAGAAGCCTTGCGGCATATACCTGGCTGAGTACTGCGGCAGAGGGACGCGCCGTCGCGATCGGCGGTAGCAGCGAACAGCGGTGGGACTAACCTTGGCTCAGTGAATGTTGATTGGGAAGATCCAAAGAAGCCTGCGTTCTGAAGACGCAGATGCGTTTCGTAGTCGGAGTTCGAATGATGATTTTGGCCGGATTCTTTTGTTAATATTGGGCTTCCATTAGCAATGGAGTTCTATTTTATTCAGGCTGGGCCTCGATTGCATACTCTCTACGTCTTTAAATTATCTTTTAAATTGCATAAGATATACTCCGAGAGTCCGAGTCCGAGTGCATAAGAATTAAGATAATGAGTATTGTGTGATTTAGAGTTCTGTAGAACAGAAAGAAATATATAAGAATGTTTAAGGCATGTTTTGGGGTTCAGAGAGAGGGAGGGAGTAGTTATAAACAAAACTACGTAGTACTCCCTCCGTCCCGCTATTAACTTCCTACTTTCCTTTTTGGGCCGTCCCAAAATAATCTTCTCATTTCCCTAAATGGAAAGTTATCCTACATCAAAACAATGTCAAACAGTGCAAAACAGTGTCAAACAGTGTCAAACAGTGTCTAAACAGTGCCAAACAATGTCTAAACAGTAAAATCAAATTTAATTCCTAAATATGTGTGTAGGTCAAAGTAGGAATTTAATAGAGGGACGGAGGGAGTACTAAATTTCACAATTACACCTTTTTTATATCGATTAATTGTAATTCAAAATATATACTTCATATATATATTGATTCGTTTTACAAAACTTTTCATTACTATCTTGTAATCGTCTTCTTTATGGTCTCCACCCACACTCAAATCAATAAAGCAATACAATGAACCTCACTCCCCCGTCCATAGAAATTAGTGAAGCCGTGTCATGTCAGGAGAGAGAGAGAGAGAGAGAGAGCAACGATTCATAATCCAAGATGATCGTCCACCGCAACAACATGTTACCTCTAAAAGAAGGGCGTCGAAAACTCTCTTAAATGGCGATTCTCGTGCCCATGAGCTGAGATTTTCAAATTCTACAAAGCGAGTGTATAATGTGTCTTGAGGTTTATTCCTTCAACTCGGCCCAACACATTCCTTTGGGTTTCATAGGGAATGTTTTAATGGGCTGAGTAAAATAAATGGCACAAGCAATAAATGGCAAGCAATAGAGTGTCTAGTAAGTGGGCCGAATCTTATTACTTGATAATAAGGACGATTAAAGCACACATTACTATCAGCCTGCTAGGCCGATCGTCTAATCTGAGCAGAGAATGATGGGGTAATTGTTATAGCTAGTGAATACAAGTTGTCAACCTCTAACTATGAAATAAATGTTGCTATTTATACTACAAAGTGGTAGGTGATAGTGGTGATGTGGAGATTCTTAAGTGGCTAGCTTCCCAGCCAGCAAATCTATTGCATTAAATGTGTTTCCCATCAATATTTTGCTTTACCGCTAGGGGCTCTGAATGAACGTCCCCCTGATCTCCTGACTTGGGCCAAAGTAAGCTCAAGGCCAGGCCTGCTGTTCGGGCCATGCTGAACGCCCTCCCCGAGGGTCTTGGTTCACCACTTGGCCCTATTTGACCAAGGACACTAACGCCGAGCGTCTTCAACGATAGGACGAGCGTCAAACATTCCTCCTAGTTGGGCTTCTCCCAAAATGAGCATTGGTGCTTTTCTTGCTAAGGGGCAATGGGTTGCACCTCTGTCGGGCCTATTAACCCAACAATGTGTGATTTGACTTGAGATTCATTGAGGAAAAAACGGATATTCCATGAACTTGATGCACCTCAAAACCACCATTTACTCATGTAAAAGACCCAATTTTGGAGATGGATTCGAAGTTGGACAAAAATTCCTAGTAATTAAGCAGCAGCTCAAACTTTATGCGTGAACAGGCCTAGCTTCACAGGATATTAGTTCTCACTTTGAATAGTCACAAATAAGACTAACTATGCTTTATTCCTAAAATAGTATCTATTTGATTCCATTAAAAGTATCGAACTTTCTCATTTATGAGTAAATCATGAATCCTATTCTAAGAAAGAAGCAATACTAATTCTATTAGTGAACCTTATATTATATGTAGTATTCCTATTTAGAGAATTTACTCCATTTACACACATATAAAAAAAATGTGGATACAATTATGAGCAAATTGATACTATGTATTTGTTTAAACTCATTATTCAAGTAAGATAAAAACCATGCCATCAATTGTACTAGAAAATCCCTAAATTTGATAGACTAAGATTCAATTGTCTTGATGATCTTGTCTATTGTTCTTGTGACTATTCCTCGAGGCCTCATGCCAATGTTCTTAACATCTGACGACGATTTAAATCTTGAAATAATCATAAAAATCAAAATCAAGTATCCATCGGAAAAAATATCTTCTCCGCTTCTTAACATAATCGGTGTAAGGATAAAATAATAATTTCAAGTAATTTAATATTTATTTAACTTAAATCGGAGACTGTAAATAATAATTAAGGAATTGCATACAAAATTCCCTGTATTTAATTACTCTTTATTACTTTTCACTGTTGGCTTAGGCCCTGCCAGGTCATAGGCTAAATCGCCTCTCATGAGTCATGACCCTTGAAATCTTCAAAAGAACACGTACTCTACGACTAGCAATCAAAAATCATGATACCCTTCCCAAAGACACATCATTGGTCCATAAGTTCTATTACCTCTGTCTTATAGGACATAGGCTTTGTTTGCAACCACTTCTGCTTAAATAAAAGTACTTTTGGGGAAAAAGTGATTAGTAGTAAAAGTTGTTAGTGTTTGGTAAAATAAGTATTTTTTGTGTAATAGAAAAAGTAAAAAGTAGATTCTACACGGAAGTCGAGAAAGTAAAAGTTGGTAGTGTTTGGTAAAATAAGTGCTTTTTTCTTTAAAAAAAAAGTTAAAAGCACTTTTTTTAATGGGTTGCAAACAGACCCATAGTCAATTTTGTACTAAATGTGATATGACAAAAGTAAAAATTATATGTTTCAAATTTATGCAAAGGGGTGAAATAAATTGAATCACAAACTCATTACAAAAAAATATGATAAAGTTCTGACTTCTGAGACAATTAAAATAGGAAAATTTGCCAAAACCAAGGGAACGGAGAGGGTATATTAATTTTTTGAACGGGACTACAACACTAACTTACCTTCAAGGCTTCAACCCAATTTATAGGTTATGTCATTCCCGCCACAAAACAAACTCTTAGGCAACCATAAATCATAATTGCCATTCAATATACCGAACTGCAAAATCCATCTACATAAATCTCAACCACACGCTTTATACTCTATTATTCCATGTATTTTGGCAATTTTTTGTGAGACAAATACGGAGTATATCAGCAATAATGCTTTTGATTATATATACACAAAATGTCAAACCATTATTTACAATATATACAATTATACACTGCCAAGCCATCCTCAGCCATCTCACACCTCCATATAAATTGTCATGAAGAATTCAACTTACCTTAAATGTTCTATATCTAGGTTTCTTTTATGACATCATCATCATAAATATCTGCCACGGTATGTACATCAAAGTGATCAAACTAGTGGCAAAAATACTACTAGTATAATAATAGGTTGAAGACTTTGACAATTATTTAAGGCAAAAAAACAGAGCAATAGGAGGGCTACATTTGAGACTTCCCACCTTGCTTAAGAAGCAAGTCCCTCATCTCTCTATACACACGAAGCTCCTCTAATGCATCTGTAGTGGTTTTTGCTGTGATCATGTTCACAGGAGATGCAAAATTAGTAGTAGAATTAGGGGGAGGGTTTAAGGTCAGGGAAGAGGAGTCTTGGCGTAGGGGAGGGGCCTTTTTTAGCATGGAGATGAGTGTGCCCACAGATGCTTGAGGCTTCCTTGCTACACAAACTCCTCCATGTTCATGTTGGTTTGTTTGCTCTAATGAACCAATTCTGGGGAAAGTGGAAACATAAATGTCAGACAGTGGATAAGTACATGCACATTCAACGTAAAGCAAGAACTTCACCTAAGAAAATCTTCCACTTTGACTACAATGGTATTCCCACTTTTGGTCCCTCACTTTCATTTTTCCACTCTTGGTGCGTGAACATAGATTTCTTGGACAATAGTCATGAGACCAGAAGTAGAAACTCAATTTACATGCATTGGAGTAACTTTTACCTTTGAGAAGATAATTCATATTTTGGCTGCTAAAATTTCACTAGCACTAGAAGTAGACAACATTCAACAATCCCAAATTGAAGCGTATTACAAAATGGGTGGACTAGGCATCTAGGCACGTCAAAAATATTGTTGATTTGATCGGATTGATATGTAAACAATAAACAGAGCCATATAACTGCCATCTCTATAGTTGCACACACATACAATGTAATACACGTGAATGAGTGCCTATGTATAGAGAGAGATGAAAAGACACGAACAGCTAGTTTGGTGATTTTGGAAGGAAGGGTGTTTTATTTTACTCCTTTCGTCCCATTAGGAGGTTCCAATTGCGGTTTACGATGCTTGACTGACAATAAAGCAACTTAATCCCTGTTCACACTCTGATTATTTTTAGTAAATAAAATTTACATATTCAGAAACTACATTAAAACCGCTACAAAGCCTGATTAAAAATGTAAGTTAGATAAAAATTTGATATACAAAGTAAAAGATTAAGAATGATTTAAGTTGACCATGTGAATAGTGGACGGGAACCTTTAAATGGGACGGAGGGAGTACTAATTTATATCTGTTTATTAGTCTTACACAGTTAGACTATAAATAACTACTCCGTATATGTTTATGAAAGTTTTTTATTACTTGATGAGGATAACAAATGCATACTGCATCAAATAACATAAATGACCTTCCTTTTTCAGTTCCACATTTCCTGCTTTCCCAATTTCTTAATATTCTCTCTCATCCTTTTTACCTTTTCTACCCAATTTACTACCACGAGAATTTTGTTCTAAAACTTGGTGAAAAGCCAAGTAGAGCATGTAAAAAATAAACGGAAGGTGTATAAATTCTTATCTTCACTTCTTTGTTCTTTCCCAATTATCTTAATGTAAGATTAAATGAAAAATATACATACCACCCCTCCATTTCCCTTACCTCCAAAATCTCCTACCCAAACAGGCCCTAAAATAGGACTTTCTTTTAACATGAAGTAAACAGTCTATTACAAAATAAAATTCCACAAAACCTCTATTTACTGATTCACAATGAGCTATTATCC